GGTGCAGCTCACTCCAGAGCTCCAGGCAGGACCAGGCTGGGACTGAAATTTCCCCCAAATTGTTCAACTTCTTTCCCTTTTTTCAGCTTCTTTCCCTTTTCTGTCCTGCTTCCTTCATTCCCTTAATGATTTCTCCTTAGAGTACTTCTTTAACAAACTTTCCTACACTGAAATCTTTAGCTCAGGCTCTGATTCTGGGAGAACTCAATCCAAGACAGCTTCAGTTTTCCCATCAGTTGAATGGAAGCCTTGGGATAGACCCTTGCTTTTAGAGCTTTGCTTTGACTGCCGATCCCTTTCTACACGTGAAGATCTATGAAGTCCAGAAGGTCAAACAGGTTAGATTGCAGCTGCTGGAGTTGATGTGGGACAGTGATCTTGTATCCCCTCCCCACTATTCCCAGTCCCCTTCTCAACTGGTAGCAGCCCTGAACTGCCTTCTAGATGCTGCAACCCCTTCCAATCTTCTTGGGGCTCCATGGGCACAGTGCACCAGCTCTGGACTGGATGGTAATGTGCTCCAGCTATGGCTCCATGATATCCTTGATATCAGTTGACAGTAGTTGCTGCAGACTTCAGGTTAGGGGTGGCCCTGAATGTCCCTGCGCCCAACATGCTCCTGATACTGCTGCCAGTGTCCTCACTGGGGCATTTTATCTTGCATATACTCCTGAAAGGCCAACCCAGTAGCCCCACAGCCTTCTCTGAGACCTTGAGTTTGCAATGAGGTTCCCACAGACTGGAACCTCCAGAGTTCCTGGTTATTGCTTTGAATTTGCATCCATGTGTTTAACTCCTGGTGATCCAAAGGCAGTCAGCTTTGGGGTGGAACTTGATGAGTTGGCTTCCTAGGAGAGAATTGGCAGGGGCAGCCAGAGGAAGTGTGTGAGGGGCTCTGTTCAGTAGGGTGGGCATATGCCTTACTCAGTCAAGGCACTGACAGTGGTAGAAACCAAAGGAATGGAGCAGAGGCAGAGTGGCTTTGGGCATTACAATGATCCATGCAGTTAGACATGCTCGGTGAATATTCTCCTCCTCCTCCTGTTGATGAATGGTACCAACAACAGCAGTGATCCCTTTAACATTATTGAGGTCTATTTGCCAGCTATTGTGCTAAAAACATCTAATCTTCATGAAAGCCTTGTGATGTAGGCGCTATTCTTATTTCCATTGTACAGACAAAGAAACTGAGGCATAACAATTTGTGCAAGACTACACAGTTAATGTGCTGGAGTCAGGGTTTGAACTCAGACAATCTGACTCCAGACCACCTCCTCCTTCCAGCATCTGTGCCGATGCCTCCTGTGGCATACTCAGAAAATGGCCTGCATGTACCTGTGCTCATGTCTGTGTGTGTGTGTGCATGCATGCACGTTTATACAGGACTGGGGATGCAGGGGAGCTAGAGCCCAGTTAGGAAGGAGAGAGGAAATATCTCTTTGCTGCATGTTGGCACCGTAACTCCAGCCAGGCAAAGCGCTGGTCTGTTCTAGCTCATTTTTATGTTTTTATTTAGAAGCTTCCATACCAGAGCTGATGGCAGAAAATGTGCAGTAAAACGAGGGGAGGCCGCTGGGTAATGGCCCCTGTAAAGTGTTAATTGCCTATTGAGACTGCAGACTTTGTCGATGCTCCAGGATCTGAGCTATTGACAGGCTCTTATTTATTTCGGGCCCACAAAGCGGGCTCCTCCTCCAAACAGGCTTCCAATCAGTCACGCTTCCCTGGGCCCGCCAAGAAGCTCCAGTCGATAAGTGTGTTTGCTGCCTTAACCCTTTGAAGCTGGCCCTGTGGGCTGTTTCTGGCTTATCCAAGTGCCTTGCCACAAGGAAACTACCACGTGCAGTGATCTCGGATAAAAGTTCCAGAGAATCAAGTGCTAACTCTGTGCTGGGCCACCAGCTGGGTGCTTTATACACATCATCTCTGATCCTTACCACTCAAAGAAGCAGGTAGTGTCTCTCTGCTAGGATAGCCTAACCTCAGAAAGGTTGAATTAATTGCTTAAGTAACCAATATGATTGTACTGCAGACTTATGGGCTAAACTGTGGTCCCCGAAATTCATGCTTTGAAGCTCTAATTCTCAGTACCTTGGGACGTGACTGTATTTGGAGATAGGGCCATTAAAGAGGTGATTCAGTTGCAGTGAGGTCTTAGGGTGGGCCCTGATCTAATCTTACCAGTGGGGTTTTTGTTGTTGTTGTTGTTGTTGTTGAGTCTTGCCCTGGTGCCTAGGCTGGAGTGCATTGGTGTGATCTCGGCTCACTGCAACATCTGTGTCCTGGGTTCAAACAATTCTCCTGCCTCAGCCTCCCGAGTAGCTGGGATTACAGGTGCCTGCCACCATGCCCAGCTTTGTTTTTGTATTTTTAGTAGTCACGGGGTTTTACCATGTTGGCCAGGCTGGTCTCGAACTCCTGACCTCATGGTCCACCGCCTTGGCCTCCCAAAGTGCTGGGATTACAGGCGTGAGCCACCATGCCTGGCCCGGTGTTCTTTTAAGAAGAGGAAATTTGGACACAGATAAATACAGAGGGGTGGAAGGCATCAGGAGAAGGCAGCCATCTACAGACCAAGGGGAGAGGCCTCAGAAGAAACTAACCCTGCTGACACCTTAATCTCAAACTGCAAGCCTCCAGAATTATCAGGAAATACATTCCTGTTGCTTAAGCTCCCCAGTCTGAGGTACTTTGTTATGGTGGCCCGAGCAGGTAAATACACGCACCCAGAACTTGCGTGGCATTGAATTTATGCATGTGACCACTGAAAGTATGCAAACTCTGTTCTCTGGCTTATGGATCCAGCTAGAATAAGAAGCAGAAAGTAGGTAACATTACCTCTTTGCAGCAAGTTTTTTCTTAGGTTGGGTCCTCGAAGGGCTCATGCCTATATATTAGAAAGAAAAAGGAAGCCAGATTTGGGATTTGGGATTTGGGATTCTAAGTGCCAAAAGAAGTCATTGACTGTTTCTAAACAGAGGCAGTAACACAATCAGGATTTCTTTCTTTTCTCGGAAAATATAGGCTATTCTGGCTACTGTGTGTAGAGAATGGATGGTGGGACACAAGAGTGAAGCAAGGAGACCCCTGAGGGGGCTGCTGAACTCCAGGCAAGAGATGAAAGTAACTTGATGGAGAGTGGCAGTGACAGAGAAGGCAAGAGGTGGATAGATTTGAAATAGATTTTTGAGATGAAATTGACAGAACTTGCTGATGGACTGGGGATGGAGGTGAGAGGGAGGAGGTAGACGATGATGCTGCTCATGTTTCTGGCTTGAGCAACCTAGTCTTTATTGGAGCTATTTATGAGGAGGGAAGACATGAAGAGGAATTGATTGGGTGGCAGGTGTTTAAGTGGGCTGTCCACTGGAATGTAAGCTCTGAGAGGGCAAATTTATTGATTGAAGGCTGTATGAATCTATTCATTCCTCTTCCCACATTTCATGCACACATATGGTTTTTTATATGAACCAGAAATAATGTAGTTTCTTTTTCTACATCAGAAGAAAACTATATGTCAAGGGTGACATCTAATTTTGCTACTTCTCTCTCTGTTGCCCAGTCTGTAGTACAGTGGTGTGATCCGGCTCACTGCCTGCTGCCTGAAACTTCTGGGCTCAAAAGAGCCTCCCACCTCAGCCTCCCAAGTAGCTGGAACTACAGGTGTGCACCACCATACCTGGTTAATTAAAAAACATTTTGTAGAGAAGGGTGTAATTGTGTTGCCCAGGCTGGTCTTGAACTCCTTGCTTCAAGTGAGTATCCCCTCTTGGCCTCCCAAAGCCCTTGGATTACAAGTGTGTGCCACTGTGCCTAGCACTCACTTAGCATAATGTTTCAGAGGTTCATCAGTGTTTATCATCCATTGATACATGTTGTAGCATGCATCAGTACTTCATTCCTTTTTATGGTTGAATAGTATTTCATTGTATGAATAGACCATATTTTGTTTACTCATTCACCAGTTTTTGAACATTTGTGTTGTTTTTACCTTTTGGCTATTTTGAATAGTACTGTTGTGAACATTTGTGTAGAAATTTTTGTTTGGACACCTGTTTTCAGTTCTTTGGGGTATATAACTAGCAGTGGAATTGTTGGATCATGTGGTAATTCTATATTAAACTTAGGAACCTATATAAGACATATCAATGATAACTGTTAACTTCCATTTTAGAAAGAGGAAGTAGAGGCCTGAGATGGTCTCAATGACCTATATGTCCCCAGCTCTCAGCTCTCAGCCCTTTAACTTCAGTCCACATCTCTTCCATGGTCTTTAGCCCGTGTATTTAATTACTGGTAGACATTTCTACTAGGATATCTCGTAGTCACCTCAAACTCAGTGTCTAAAACCAAACACACCAACTTCTTCCCTTTATTCCCATAGCAGCTTCATTTCCTATTTTCATCTCGGTGAATGGCACCACCATCCAATCAGCCAGCAGTGGGACATGATCATTGGCCTCCCAAGGGATAGTACTACTACTTACTGTGTGACCATGGGCAAGTGATCAATCTCTATACTTCAGTTTCCTTGTCCAGAAAGTGGAAGATAATCTTACTGGGAATGAGTATGAGGATCGTGTGAGGTGTGTCTCCCTCTCTCCCTCTCTTTTTTCCCCCCTCCACCCCCCCTCCCATTTTTCTCTCTCATCTCTATCCCCATCTTAGCAAACTGTCTGGCTCACACTGTGAGCTCAACACTATTAACATGGAACTGTTTTGGGTAAGATGTGTTAGCCTCCTGTGGAGCTGGTGTTTCACAGAACACAGTTGAGAGAAATAGTGAACTGTAGCAATGATTTTCAAATATGTTCTTGCAACTGGCAGCATCAGCAATACCTCAATTCTATGGAATCAGAGTATTGAGGGATAAAGCCTAGGAATCGACACAATTAAAAAATGCCCCAGGTGATTTTGAAGCTCAGCCAAGTTTGGAAACCACTGAATTCAGCTAATTACATTCTACTATCAGTAAATGCCTTACAAACATCGGTAATTTCAATCAAACATGAATTTCACCATTTTCCTCCCCAAATCTAATAAGATCATCAATCCTTGAACCTTCAAATAGGTCTTTGTTTATTCTCACTATTCTGTTGAACTTGAGCAGCCTTTCCTGTGTGGTCCCCATCAGAGCTGTCTTTTATCAAGTTGCATTTTGCTCTTAGGACTGACAGTACCTGGACATTAAATTAAAAATCACTTAGACATACTACTGGTAATCATGTTGGGCGCTTTGTGACTCACCTCATGCAGCCCTTTGGAAAATATGGCTAGCCCTGACCAGGCATAGGTCTTCTTGTGGAGGGCACAGATTCAGAAAGCATTAGAAATAGAGGAAGATCCTAATTAGTATTCTGTGTACAAATGAGCCTGGAGGACACAGGATTAAGCAAAAGGATCCAGCTTCCTTTTCTGCAGGACTTCTCAGAGCCTTGAATATGGTAATAGACACTGGCTATCCTAAAGTGCAAATGAACTATAGCTATAAGTGGCCCTGTCTGGACAAGGAGGGAGGCCACCCAAGGGGCACAGTTTCTAGGTGGTTAGCTTTGGACCACCAAAGCTTTCCTGATCTATTTTGTCAGGGGCAGGAGCAAAGCTTTGGGTTGGCCTTCCTGAAGACCTGAGCTGAGGAAGGGTTAACATGGAGAAGTGGGTGTGAAGGGGGGAAGGTTGTTGGATGTCAAGGCCTATCCATTGATCTATTTTTATCAATGTCTGTCAATATCCTTATGTCCTACCTGGTTCACCCTTTGGCTCTGAAAAAAATCACTTTGGTTTCTGATGTTCTGGAGGCCCACCAGGCCCTCTGATGACCTGAGCACTGGGCCTGTACTCCTGGCACCCATCACCAGTGCCACATATATGTCCCAACCACACCATCCATCATGTCACATTGTATGCACAGCTGTCTTCTCCATTATGAGCTACTTGAAGGCAGGTCTTTTGTCTTATTCTTCTATCACCTCCTAGCATAGCACCAGGCACTCTAGTTGTGTTGATTAGTGTTTGTCAGTTCCAAAAAGCTAGTACGATGCTCTGTTTTGTAGGAAAGGAAGAGAGAGGAACAGGAAAGCAGGCAAGTCAGCTTATAAACTCTCAGGGGTTGGAAGGAATAAGGAGAGGGCTCCAAGCCCCTGGGGCTGCACAGCCCATTTCTCTGCAGACCGCCACCACTAGAGAGCACAATGCACCTAGGAACAGGGTCTGCTGAGTGTCTGGCTCTGGCCCAGCCCAGCTCTGCTCAGCCCCCCACCCCTCCTGGCAACACCGCAATGGGAAGCGGGATTTGGATGAGGCTCAGCCCTGCCTCAGACACTTTGCAATCTTAGGCCTAATTAAAACACCACAGACGGTTTGAACCCCGCATTAAAATTTGATGAGGAATTGATCAGCCAAGCAAACAGGAAATTTAGCTGTGAGTGAAGGTAATGTTTGCTCAAATGTGTAATGAGGCCCTCGGGGAATATTTGTGGGGACCTCCGTCATGTCTGGAGTGGCTCCTGCTCTTCAATTTCATTTTTTCCCATTTGCCTTTCCCATCAAAACATCCCAGGATGCTTCCAGAGGGGACAGGGAACACGGGGAATGTTTTGGTTTCATAAGAATTTCCTTTAAGAACCCAAGGAAATCTAATATCCTCAGCACAGGAAAGAGCACAGGAAAGAGCCACACTTGGGTGGGAGTCCTGACTCTGCCACTTGATGGTTGGCGTCCTTAGCTTGCAATCTCTAGTTTAATGGGGAGTCACTGAGTACCTACTATGTGCCAGCCAGGGGTCAGACTCTGGGGATAGACTGCTGTGCAGAACTGTCTTGGTTCCTGCCTCCATGGGTATAAAGCTGAGTAAGAGAGGCTATGAGTCTCATTTTCCTTATCTGGAAAGTGGGAGTATTTGTATGTTATCATATGAGGTTGTTGGATGAATTAAATGAGAACATGTGTGCAAAATGCAGAGGACAGGGCTGTAATACATGTGTCAAATGAAGGTTTCTCCATGTCCTTCCTCCCTTAACCTGCATTTGAAGTCTACACAAGGATTTTCAGCTTTCTTTCTACTTAATGTCTATGAAAGTAACCTAATACGATGTTCACTCACTTATATGTTCACCACTGTTGGATGTAACAGGCCATGGACACAGCAAGTCACAAGACTAACCTATTTACCAGATTGAAATTGGATCAGAAGTTCTCTCAGAAAGATCAAATAGCAAACATTCTTGAGTCATTTGCGATGAGAGGAGTCTGATTTGAGAACGTTGCTTTGAGGATTAGGGAGAAACGCCAGAAGCTTAACACTTCCTTTAGACATACCCATGATACCTTAAGTGGGAGAATAGTGGAATCTGGAGAGATTTTCCTTCCTTTCAGGCTTCCACGAATACTTTACCCTAATAGTAATGATGTGTGCTCAGCCTTCCCTTCCTCTTCATCATCCCCACTCCCAACCCAATGCCCACTGTCACCCATTCCCATTCCTATCCTTATCCCTGCTCCCCTCCCAACACCCATCCTAATGCCTGCCGTCATCCATTCCCATTCCTATTCTTATCCCCACTCCCATCCTCATTCCCATCCTAATGCCCACTGTCACTCATTCCCATTCTTATTCTTATCCCCACTCCCATCTCCACGCCCATCCCAATGCCACTGTCATCCATTCCCATTCTTATCATCATCCCCACTCCCATACACACACTCATCTTGATGTCCACTGTCATTTATTCCCTTTCCTACTTATCCCGATTCCCATTCCTATGCCCACACCAATGCCCACTGTCACCCATTTCCATTCCTATTCTTATCTTCACTCCCATTCCCACACACATCCTAATGCCCACTGTCATCCATTCCTGTTCCTATTATTTCTCATTCCCATGCCCATCCCAATGGTCACTGTCACTTATGTCTGTTCCCAATCTTATCCCGACAACCACCCCCATGCTACTCATCCACGACCATTTCTTTACTCACCTCTACTCCTCCCCATTCATTTTCTGCACTATTACCAACGTCATTAATATTATCACCATCATCTTTATCACAAAATATCCACGTTACTGGTTTGGTAGGTGCAATCAGATTTGATTGCCCTTTCTTTTCATGGGATCTTACATAAGATGATCATGTTTGTTAAATTTTTAGGATAACCCTTTTCCTTAAATCTAAGATGCATGCTTCCCTGTCTCACATGTTTTAATGTCTTTGAATTCAGAAAGTACCTCACAAAAAATTCCAAAAGACAATTGCTAGCCACAGGTAGAAGAGTGAGTTGTGACAGTGTTGTTACTGCTTTAACACTGCAATAGCTTGTTGAATTTTCAAAGATGGTAGGGCCTTGGCGACCAGTTTTTATGTCCTGGAGAACCACCACCCAGATATATACATAGATATAAGGAAAGCAATGGCTGATTTCCAAGTGTTCAAGTTTTGTTAATAGGGGATTTCAAAACACCTTGTTATTGATCTATTCAGGAATTCAACTTCTTCCTTGTTTAGTCTTGGGAGGGTGTAAGTGTCCAGGAGAAGCTTGAGTTTAATCAAATAGGAAATAAGGATAAAACCTGGGTTTTCTTCAATGTGTTTCAGATGATAATGTTACCTCTAAACTTCTTAAAATATGGGGCTTAGAATTTGGAAAAACAAAATGTCACCCCGATACTGAAGGTGACTGCTCATAACTAGAAATGATTCATTCAGAAGACACGTTGAGCACCGAGTAATTGAGTGATTTTCAATGACTTTGCTACTATGAATTGAATAGTTTTCATTTATAAAAGTCAATGAAAATCTGGGAAAACTATAGGTTTATTTACATGTATTTTATATCTTGTCATCTAATGAAATATAAATTCTCTCAATTTTTCAAATTCTTGTATTTTTTCTAATTTTACAATAATATTTGCAAATGATACCTATTTTGATTCTTTGTTTTCAATAGTTAAACACTTCTTACTTTATTGTATAGGCCAGAGCTTCCATCAGAATCAGTGTATTCAGATTTCCTAATATTTATTAAATTAATTTTTGTCATTATAACATTGTGATTTTTCTAGGAAATTACGTACAGTTTTTTTTTTTTTTTTAAATCAAGACCACTGGTATATAGCTGTGCAGTATTTTCTGTATTAATTAAAAATGTCCCTCATATTTATTTTCATTCCTTTTATCCATTGTTCAATTTTTATAACTCAGATGTTACAGTCTCATGAGGTTAGGGTCTTATTAAGAAAAAATCCTACATTTTGAAGGTTCTGAGTTTCCATCTGACTGGGTCCGTGTATTAGTTCTCCTTATTTCTTGCTGCTAACATCAACCAGGTGTAAGTCCTATTAATTTTATAATCCCACTTCTTAAGGGTAACCACAACAAACATTTTAGAGTAGAAAACATCAGTCCTTTTTCTATACGTATACAGTATGTGTAAATATAATTTCATTTTTTTACAGAGTAGGATCATATGATATATTGTTCTGTAACCTGTTATTTAATGTATCCCAAAGTATGTTGTTTATTGGCTTCATAATATCCCACAATATGGGTGAGCCATATGCTGTTTACTAATTTCTTTGTTGTTTCCTAGTCAGGTTGATCCATTTGTTTGCCACCATAAGTCATATTATGATGAACACATTTGTAAATAAATACTTGTTCACATTTCTAATTATTTCCTTAGGATGAAATTCTTAAGTAGGTATGAATAATTTTCAGTATCCTTGATACAGATTGCCAAATTACCTTTTAGGAATTTGTACTAATTTATACTCCCACCTGCAATAGATGAGTGCCTAGCTTGCTCAACTGTCACCAACACTGAGTTTTCTTTTAATCTTTGCAAATTTAACAGATTACAAATAAAATCACAGTGCTGTCTTAATTAGCATTTATTTGATTATTAGTAGAATGAACACTTTAAATCTTTGTCATTTATAGTACTTCTCCTCCTTCTTTGAGACAGGGTCTAGCTATGTTATCTAAGCTGGAGTGCAGTGGCTATTCCTAGGTATAATCATAGCATACTGCAGCCTTCAACTCCTGGGCTCAAGTGATCCTCCCACCTCAGCTTCCCAAGTAGCTGGGATTATAGGCACATGCCACTGCTCCTGGCTGTCATTCCTCTTATGTGAACTTTGTCTGGCCATGGATCATGCTTCTCTAACTCAGCATTTGTTTTCTTACTGCTCTTAAGAGTAATGTAACCTGTAACCTTAAGGATATTAACTCTCTTGATATATGTTGGAATTTTTTTTCTCAATATGTTGTCTGATTTTTAATTTTTACAGTTAGGTCTCTCAGTATTTTTTGAGATTTATTTCTTTGCATTTATTCTTAGTGGATTATGTGATCAGATCAATATTGATATTAGTTTTCTTGTAGGGACTGAGCTGAGATTTTTTGGTAGGTTTGGCACAGAACTCCTTATCTAACCTCATAGCAGAACAGGCCTCCTTTATTGGGAGAGGGAATCCTCTTTGAATGAGAATGCAGCTTTGGGAAGGAGGAAAATGGAGTAGTCATGAAAGATGGTTTGCTGTCCAGCTCATAAAGTCATCTATCTCGACCTGGTGATCGTGGGGTGGCATGCATCACATTCTCAGCCTCGTCCTTCTCAACTTGTATTTCCTCCTTTCATGTAAATCATTAATCTAAGATTTAGTTCACTGCATATTTGAGATGAGGCTCTAACATATAATATGCAACTATATATTAACAATAATATGTATTATTAAATACATATGTGTCATCTTCTTGAAGCTCCACAACAGCCTAATGAGATAGGTGGTGATATAATTTATAGAATAGGAAACTGAAGTTCAAGGTGTCCAGGCAATTTACCCAAGAACTCTGCCTTTGACATTGACCTAGAATACTCTTAGTTAGTCCTTTGGATGCAGTGGCAGTAAAGAGCTGGGAAGCTCCGAATTCCACCTACTTGATTGTAGAAAGTTCAGTCTCTTCCATGCTTCTGCTTTCCAAATGGCTTGGAGGATTTCTAGAGAAGTTTCCATGTGTTCATAAATCAGTCCTATTGCCATTCTCTCCTTTTCCAGATAAACCTGGGATGACTAAGCCACATCCTGACTTTAGGGCATCTTGTCTTATCTCCCTGAGAGTGCTACCAGCCATGCAACCCCCAAGGGTAGCTGTTCTAGGTGTGGACCCTAACACTGGATTCTTGCACCCAGCTCTGATGCTGTCATCCCTCTTGTGGAGTGAGTAAAAGGGCTTTCCTGTGTTATGTGATGCTGGATGCTGTGGCACGCTGCACTGGGACTTTGTAATTTGATGGCTGTGTTGGAGCTGTGTGTTCTTAGTGGTTTCAAGGTGCATCTCCTTCAACTATCTAAGAAATAATGGTTCCAATAAGTGACAAGGACAAAGAACATTTTCTCCTTTTTGTTTATGCTTATTCAATGAATGTCTCATTGCAAAATTGTCCAGGTTCCAAAAATATTTTCCAGTTCTTAGATTTTAGAACTTTTTCAGTGGTCACCCTCCCTTCCTACTTTCTACCTCCCCTCCTCTCTTTCTGCTTCTTAATCCCTAATCTCTCTGTCTCTGTCTCTGTCTGTCTCTCTCTCTCTCTCTCTCTCTCTCTCTCTCACACACACACACACACACACACACACACACCTTCCCACCCCAAATGCTCATATTGCAAATACACAAATAACAATTAAGATTCCAGGTTATAAGCAACAAAAATAAACTATTTAGGTGAAAGGAAATCTGTTGGCAGGATGTTTGGGATCTCAGAATTGTTAGCATCATGGACTAGGCTAGCTAAGAGCTCTGTAGATATATGAATTGCAAAGCCCAGCTATCGTCATATGGCAAGAAGGGACTGGTTGGGGTCCCTGTGCTCTGCAGTAATGAATGGACTCTAGCCATTTCTTTCTGCCTCTTGCTTGTTCTCCCTATATTATAAGTCACCAGGGAGGGTGTAAGCCTTCTTACCTTCCTCCACAAGCCTGCCCCTACTCCTGACTGTACTGGGCTAAAAGGAGGAGGATCGTTTCTCTTTGGCTTCCCAAAGTTGAAGTGGTCACCTCTAATAATTCTCCCATCAAATATATGCACAGTGAAGAGAGGCAGTTTTCTCAGAGGAAACTAAAAAGAAGTAAACACTGGGCAGCTGCTGCTGCCTCCACTTGCCTTGGAGAAGTCTCTAAATCATTGCCTCTTAAATCTTTGCTGAGAAGTAGAACAAAACCATGATGGGGATCTTTGGTGGAAAATCATCTATTCCCCAACCAGTTGAGCTGGAAGTGGAAGTCTAGGTCAAATGGAAGGCTGGAATTAGCCTTATCCATCTGCATGGA